TTCGTATCCCCTGATCTACCTGTGACTACTAACATCCTAGCCTTGAGGGAGAGAAGGCTCACAATCTGTTGTCACTTGCCCTTTCGTCTCAGGAGGGCCTGGGTACAGGTGCAGAGAGGGCTGGTGTTGGGCACACACCCCACGTCATCCTACAGCAGGTCAGGGCAGTGACTCAGCCTACCCAGACTGGCAGCAGCACACAATATTTAGTGGGCAGCTTGGAATGGGGCCTTTTACCCAGTCCCAAGCCAGCTACCAAGCACATCCCAGAACAGAGGTTGTGATCCACAGGGGGTCATCTGTCCACCATATATTGGGACATGGGCCTGTGAGAAGGAGAGGATGACTCCCCTGACCCCGTTAGGAGCCCAGCATTTTTGTTTTGCCCTGGGTAACACAAGTTACATAAACATCCCTCGACCAGATCAACATAGACTTCTAACTACACAGTTGGAAACTGACTTGTCAACTCCATTATCACCTAGCTTAGCACTAAAAATGTAGAAGAGTAGAAAAATAAATTCATAATTAGATCTATAAATTAAAAGAAAGCACCTAGAATTCCATTATTTTACAACAGCCGTATTTCCATGGTAGTACTTACTCTTGCTAGTTGATGTTTGTGTGGAAATTTATTTTTACCCATATTCAAAGTTCTTCAGAATGATCACTTGACTAGCAGTCATGAAAAAATTGTTCTAGTCCCAACAGTGCCACTAACCTGCTATGTGAGACTGAAGAAGTCTGTTACTCCTCTGGCTTTCATATTCTTTGCCTATAAAATGAAATAGATGGGTTACAATCTCTGAGTTACTCCCAACTCTAAGGTCTATGATTTTGATTCCAGCATTTTCGCTCTTCAGAAAAACCATCTACTCATACAACTTCAACAACCACCCACAGGTATGTCTCAGAAATTCTAGTTATAATTATAATTGTTGACACTTACCAGGATAAGTGCTTTATATGCATTATTTCTTTAAACCCTCAAGATTTTTTTTTAAAAAAATTGGCTACAGGTGAACTTATTTCTGGATAAACAGATACTCATGTTTTTAATTTTTCTTTAAGTTAATTTTGATAAATAAGATTTGTTTAGGATGTAATCAATTTTGCTAAATTTTCGAACCTTTTGCCATCAAATTGTTTGCAATATTTTCTTATGTGTTTACATCCACAGCACATGTAGTGCTGTCTCCTTTCCATTTCTGTGGTTGATTGTTTATACCCCTTCTTTTCTTTTATTAATAGGTCTAGCTGGCAGTTTGCCAGTTTTCTTTTACTGACTACTTTATGATTGTTCTCTATTTCTTCATTTTTCTTAACAAAGCTAAGAGAGTAGTTGGAAATGAAGAGCTAATGTCAGGGAGGTAACAGTGGGAGGCAGGAGGGAAATCCTACAGCCGAAGTGAAATAGGAAGATATTGCATGATTTTGAGCAGAGGAGAGATATGATTTGACATATGGTTTAAAGGATTTTTTTGTTAAAAACACTGGAAGTAGGACAGTGTAAAAACAAGAAGATCAGTCAGGAGTCTATATCAGTCCAATCAAGGGATGATGATCTCTTGCATCAGGATAATAGCAGCAGAAGTGATGAAAAGAAAATAGATTTCAGACATATTTTAAAAGGTAGGGCCAACATAATTCAAAGAAGTATTGGCTGTGGAATATGAAAGTCAGAGAAGAGTCAAGGATGACACCCAGATTTAAGGCCTGAGCAACTGAAACATGGAGTTGTCATCACCCAAGGTAGTTCATTTTGCTGTTCGTGTCTTTCTTTGACAGTGTGAGGGGTTTCAGAAGTTCTGTTTTGAACACATTGATTTTGAAATGTCTGCTAGACTTCTAAGTGGAAGTGCTGAATAGCCAACTGAAGAGAGACTGAGCTGAAGATATAAATGTGGGACTCATTAACATACAGACAATATTTAAAACCTTAAAGTCAGATGACAGCACAGGTTCCTGAGGGAGTGAATGTACAGAGAGAAGAGAAATAAGGATAGAGTTGCAGGGCTCTAACTCTGAAATGCAAGAAAGAAGAGGAGGAACCAGTGAAGAAAGAGAAGGAGGGACCAGCGAAGTAGAAGGGCAATCAAGAGATGTGATGTCCTGGAAGCCAAAGCCAGATACAGATCAAAGAGAAGGGAATAATCAACTGTCTAAATGTTCCTGATGGTCAAGGAGGATGAAGACTAAGAATTGACCTTTTGATTTAGCAAAATGAGGGTCTTGGTTAGTGAGGTGGAGTTGAATGAAAGCCTGATTAATTAGAGTGGGTTACGAGAGAGAGGAAGAAATGGAATTGAAGACAGGGAGTATAGACAACTCCTTCAAAGAGCTTTGTTGCAAAGGGGGCAAAGAAAAGGTGGTCGATGGGAGGAGAACTGGGTCGGTAAATGTTTGTTGTTGTTGTTGTTTTAGCTGGGAGAAGTAACAGCATATTTGTATGCTGGGGAGCATAATTCAGTAGAGTGCAAATCTGATGCTGTAAGAAGCAGAAAGGAGATCTTGCTGGAGCAATGTCGCTGTGTAAGTGAGAGGGGACAGCATCTGCTGCCCAAGTGGAGGAGGGATGGGCTTTCAGTCAGAACATGGATGGTTCATCAAGGTGGGAAGGCCGAGTACAGGACTATAATGCTGGTGAGCAGACATGATGTTGGCAATCTGCGGAAGCTCTCTTCTGATTGCTCTGAACGTCTCAATTAAAAAAAAAAAAAGATCATCTGCTAAGACTGAAGATGGGGGAAGAGGGAATTTTGAAAAGAAAGAAAGGCATGAAATAGTCACCTAGGCAAGTGGGTGAGTGAATGGACTACAGAAATTATGTTTGCTTGGCAGCATTAAATTCAAAGTGATACCATCCAATGCGCTTGTGTGTTTTATGTTTTGCATCAGCCATGTTGAATGAAACAAGTATAAGCAGAGAGAAGCAGAGACTTGGATTTATCTATAGTTTCACCCAGCCAACTGACTACAGTGAAGCCCAAGAAAAACAAAACTGTCAAGGAAATATACGAGTGGTTTATATCAATCGCCCATGGAATTCAAGTGATCAAGGAGAATGATGATATCGTGGGAATGAAGGACATTGAAATGCTGGTAGGATCAATGGAGTGGAGGTCACAGCAGGATAGAATTGTACATTTTGATCTGAAAATTCCTGAATGACTTGCCAAGTTGTTTATGCTGTAAGAATTTCTTTAAAATTTATCCAGCATTTTTAGTTGAGCAGTTGCTCCAAATGATCCTAGCCAATCTATTACCAGAAATAGAACCTCCTCTTAGCTTTTAAACTTGTATTTATTTATGTATGTGTTTATGTATTTCCTTCCCTTGAACATCCATCCAAACACAATAGCCTGCTGACTTCACTCTACTGTTCCTCTCCCTGCCACCACCCAACACAGGTATTCAGCAACTCATATCTAGATTATTGCCACAGCCTCTCAATTAGTTTCTTTCTAAATCAATTTTATAGCTATTAGAATAAGGGTTTTTTTCCCCTCAGATGTTATTTTGCTTTTTGCTTAGCAAGTAGATAACCAAACAGCGAATAATTAAATTATATTCTATCTTCAATCTTCAAAATTCAGGGTGGTACATAATTATTTTTAAGTATGAAAGTGTCCCTCA